TAATTTTTTTTTTTTTTTTGCATAGTGGATGTTACGGAGTTAGTAGGTAGAATTATGTGTTTGTTTTAATATATCATTGTTCTTGTCTGTGTTGTCTTTATCTTTATCGCATCTGTATATTTTGTATGCCTTTAATAAGAATATTGAAGATCTTTAAAGGTGTTTGCTACGTATAATTCTTCTTCAGGTTAATATTGGGGGCTGCAGTTTCTTAGTGCTCTCAAATTTACTTCTATTTATAAATACAACTTGCAAAAAATATCTTTATAGTTGCCTTGATAAAGTCCATCAGAGGACGAAACGCATTGGTAAATAATTATGTTCCTTTTGTCTTTATTCATTTTGTGTTTATACATATGTTTTTTATATCTGAATTTTTATATATTTCTGTCTAACTTCTGAAAAGCATGAACCACTAACACAACTGAAAAATAAAATAGTACTCGGCTCGAGTGGAGTCTCCTGATTCTGTCATACAAACAGAATAATAACGGAGCAAAGCAACGCTTTATTGTTTGAAATGTTTAAATTAATGGGGATGGGGTAACTATTGAACACCAGGTACGTTCGCAGGGTGCAGATTTTTCCAGTCAAACGCTTGTGGCTTAATACAAAGAAAATAATTCTTTGGCCGGATCGTTACCAAAAAATAAAATCATGAAAAATCATTTTGATGCAACCTTCTCGTAATGCCCGGTTGTAGACTCATCTACGCAGAATGAGGGGAGGTGGTGGCGGGAGAACTATCACCGGCGAACTGTTCTCTGTTTTAGGCTGCTTGGGACCACTATCTTATAGAGGACAAGCGTTTTTGTCCTGTCAGCTTTTATCTAAGAAAGACATCCATAAGAACACAAGGTCCATTGACTTGGTTCTTCGGATGTTCGCTTCACTCAGCTGACCTTCTTTGTCAGGGTCGGTTGACCTGGTTCTTCGGAGGACTTCCACTCAGCTGACCTTTTTTGTCAGGGTCAGTTGACCTAGTTCTTCGGGGGTCCTCTACACTCAGCTGACCTTCTTTGTCAAGCCGATAATTGTCAAAACGATTTCTGTAACACCCTGCAGATGTCTCCTTAACAACATATCAGCTGAGAACTGATATCGCTACACGACCAATTCGTCCCCGGATCTGTATTAACGTGATTTTTAAGATATAAAAATATTATTCCATTATTATTGTGAATAATTTTGACCAGTATTTACCTTCAGCTTATATTTTTTCGAAGCTTTCTATCGCATTTTAATAAGGGGGTCGGTCTGTGGCAGTGTAGATTGGAAATAAGGAATGTTATGAAAGCCTGACAGCCTGTATAACATCAAATTCTTCATTGCATTCTGTATTCCAGCTGTAATGTCTTTTCCGCCAGTAATATTAAATAAGATCAAAATATTTATGGCGCAATGTTGTCAGATTGACATTTTAAAATATGCATGTTATGACTATTTTTTCTTCATTTCAGGAAAGTTAGTCATTTTTTAAATTCTGATTCATAATCACTCTAACTTAGAAATTTCATTAAAACAGACGATAAGTTGTCTTGTTCTCCAACGACAAAACCGCGCCGCAAATGGCTGAATATAAAATAATGTATGCCTGCCACGTAATAATTATTCTCAAATACTATTAAGATGGCTTCGATCCTGGATGGATCTCTTATTATAACAGACACATGCCAGGCCAAGTGTAGCGAAGTACAGACATTTTGTACGTCATCAGTAAAGGCTAACGTCTGTAATTTTAAAGTACGTAATCTCAAAATGAAGTTATATTTTCTTTTTCCCGCCGACAAGCAATCCAGTTCATGATGTTTATTTGGTGGCTACATTTTAGCAATTTGATTGAATAAAACATTTCAACCTTTCTACAAAATGGCTCGTTTTCTATATCTTTTTATTTGAGCCCGAAATCAAATAATCATTATAGGATTTAATGAAGAAATATTCTTTGTAGCGTTCCGTGAACAGATATTCATTATAACTAATTGGAGTAGATAGGTTCGCCTATCACTCGGTTCACACTCCTGAACAGGAGTAGAGGTCTATCCCCTGTTTTCTGTTTAGGTTCATGTTTCGGATTCCTTCTAAAGATTTTTAATTCTCTTTCACTCCTAGTAGCCACTTGCGTTTTAGTGGCAGTATTGCTTTGCTTGGGCTGAATTCATTCAAATAAATAAATAGCCTTCATAAGGTCGACTGCGACAAAACAGAAATCATATTTGAAGAACCATCAGAAAACAAGAAATCTCTTTGACAAAGCATGGAAATATTTTTTTTGTAGCAGAAGGCAACATTTAATAATTAATTTAAAAATATTTCTTAAATCCCCTAAAAAGTACCATCTATTTACCTACCTTAACTTTTCACTAACATTAATACCAGTATCAACTTCGTTTCTAATTCCAGTTCCTGTTTAGGAATGGGCTTCCGGTTTCCGTTTTTATTCTTTCATTCATCTTCACTCCTAGTATTTACTTGCGTCATAGTGCCAATATTGCTTTGCTTCAGGTGAATCGATAAAAAAAAGTTGCGTGTCAGGGTCACCAGTGTGGGCATTGGCGCAGAATGTTGCGTTTTACATTAAAAATGAATAAACGCCGAGCGAGCGTTATTTTGGAAGGTTTATTTTCTTTTTTATGAATACAAATTGTATCTTTCTCTTGAGGAAGAGTTCGAAGCTCACGGTACATTGGAATCGATAGAGAGAGTGCTAGAGAGATAGATAGATAGATAGAGAGAGAGAGAGAGAGAGAGAGACTCTTCGTTTTTTGTAACAAGCAGTCGTCCTGATTAGAACTTTGGTGGACCAGCCTGTCCCCCTTTCTGGTGAAAGGGGAGATGAAACTGACCTCGAAACTTTCTTTTCCGAAGTTTATATTGAGGTCAGCAAGGCGTTGGTGAGGGCGGTGAGTGCATGTTGGATTGTCCTTCACTTGTGTACAGGGTCTTTGGTCTTTTGTTATGCTTATTCAAGTATCTGGTTTCAGAAACGAAGTTAGATAATTGACCTGTCCTCAAGAATGCTGGTGTTATGTTTAATGAGGTGTTAGGGATGAAAAGTAGGTAATACTTTAAGAGAATTTAAAAAGTATTTTATTTTATTATTAATCTTTGCCTGTTGCTACACTCACTTCGCTTTTCAGCATCGTTTTTTGCCATTTTTCTTTGTTGTCTGAACCTTTTTGTTATTCTTCATTTGTGAAAGTATATTTTCAGCATGTGCATGGTAATCTATTTTCACAAGAACATAATCACTTTGAATTTTTTTTACTTTCCTTTCTTTTATTTTAATATTTTACTGATTCCTTATTTATTTTTATAGATTTTTATTCGTCTTTTATTTGTATGTTAACGCATATATAATATTAAGTGTGTGTGTGTGCGCGCACGACATTAAAGGCGGCAGACTGTAACTCTTTCATCATAACAATCATTTTCTTCACATAAAACTATTTGATTGATTTGCTTCTTTTTTACGCTTTATCAACCCTTTGTGAGTTATTTGAAGCGGTACATATTTTGAATTGTAAAAATAATTATTATTTGCAAGTGAATATTGCATTAACAATATTTTGAGAATAACAATTATTTTTCTAGATACAAGTGCTGCTATTTAACCCATAGTTGAGGGAGGAGATGGATTCGTACTTTTTTCCAACGGGTATATGTGCGTAAGTGAATGCAACGAACCCAACCGGAATTCGAAGACGGTTTTCCGATTTTTCATTCCGAAACGCTATCAATTATACAAACCGCATATCCACTCATAAAACCAAACGGCTTTCTGAAAGTTGTGCGTGAAAAGAAAAAAGAAAGAAAGTTTAAGTTCGCCAAAAATATTGTTTACAAAAATAAATCATCTCTTGAGAGGTTGTCCAACATTCTGACTCCTGGACAATGGGTATTATGCTTCTCATTATCATAATATTCACTGCCTGTTGTATTCTCGACTTCCCTTGGGAGAACAACAACTCTGTTGTTCTTCATCTCTTGAGAGGTTGTCCAACATTCCCGGTCAGATTTAATCTTTATCTATGCAAGGTAATCCATTTCTGTCACGTTAAACCGCCTATGGGGCTCATCAGACCACCGCGACGAAGATAGGGTCATCAAAGCTTTGAGCAATAGGGTAGGGGTTGTCATTTTACCTATCCCACCCATTCTGTAACAAAAATATAAAAACATTAATTAAAGTGGTTGCTGTTTGAAATATTTTATTCTTGAAGGAATTGAGATTGAAAAATAACTTCACTGTTGCCATCGTTACTAACAACATTGCAAAACTGTTTTTTTGTGTGTGTGCGTGTGTGTGAGCATGTATGTGTGTGTATGTGTGTGTGCGTGCGTGTGTGCCAGTTAAATGATAATCAATTCACCCCAAGCAAGGCGATAATGCCACTAAGACGCAAGGGTCTAAATGGCAGTGAAAGAGAACGAAATGACTTTAGAGGGAACCGGAAACACAGTCCTAGACATGGAACAGGGGATATACCTCTACTCCTGTCCAAAGACCGGGGAGGAGAGTGAACATATCGATAGACTTAATATTAAATTGTATTCCCCTCCGTGTGCGTGAGCAAACCCGTCGACCCAATTCCCCGGCCCCGAAACGTAGACCTTACTTTCTTCACCTGAGATATATGAGACATTATCCCCACTTCTCTAGAGCAGTTGTTTATATGTATCTATAGAACTGTTTTTTCTCACGCGTGCACGGATCCGACTTGCCCGCAGGTGTTCACCTCTAGGGTCACTCTTGACAACCGATGAATCGACAGTGCATTTCTCGGGTCATCTGACTTCCTTGACAGTCTGGTGTGAACTTGGGTATCAAGCTTATTCCAACATCATACCAATGTGTATGTGTATGGATGTGTGTGTGGAATGCGAAAATCTTATATCTATATTTGTCTAATTTGAAAATATTAATTAGGTTTTGAAATTTTTCGGTAATCTACGTTTTTTTATTATTTTTCAATATTTACCTCTGTTTTTATTTTTAGCCTCCGGAGCCACTTCCTGTTGAGACCATTGCAGAGAAAAATGTCGCAGAGACTCCGGCGCCAGTAGTTGAAAAACAACCGAAAAAGCAACCCCGTGTTGAGTCAACCCCACTTATTGGGAAGCAAACAAAAGTGAAAGACACACAGCCTGGTTTCTTGTGTTGTGCTATTCTTTAGAGGTGAAAGTTGATAAAAAACAAAAAAAAAGGGAAAACACTTTCCCAACCCCCAAAACGCAGACAGAATGACAAACAGACACACAGACATACACGCAGACAATTCGACATATAATTTAATAAATGAAATTAAATATCACACAGCCGAGCGGATTCGAGTAGAAAAAAAAAAAACTACTATTGCCTGTCAAAAAAAAAAGAAAATCCCTAAAGATCTAAAACGCCGTTTTATTTCCACATTTTCTATACCAGATGTCCCCAAATATGCCTTTTCTTTCTCTAAAAACCTATTTTCCTGTGCCAAAAATATTTTAATACCCAATATTAATGAAAGAATATAATGTATATCTTTTATCAAATATATATATAAAAAAAATCTCAATAACCATTGCGAGAACGTAACCTCTTCTCTTCTTTAATTTCCTATGCTATATGTAGAGATCGACCGCTTTCTATATGATAAATCCGAGTGTAGTGCTGTCCACAAGACAACCAACTCTCAACAAAGTGTATTCTTCCAATAAGCCACCTCTACGAAAATTAAGATAGAAAAACTATTTTTAAATCGTGTATTATTTTAATTATGAAAATTAGGGATATAATTTCTTGCTCCCATAAGGCACTGCGAAGCTAAAAAAATCCAGAATAGTTAATTTCTTATAAAAATGACATCGCCAAAAATCTATTTATCCACTCAGAAAATTAATAGGTTTACAATTTTGATCGAGTTAGATAAAAAGTTTAAAAACTGTCGATATAATCGTTTTTTTTTTAGATTCGAATTCAATCGTAAAAACCCGTAGCCGCTTTTTTTTCTTTTTTTTTTTCTTTCTTTCTTTCTTTCTTTTTCTTTCTTTCTTTAGGACGTGTTATATTTTTTTTAATTGTAATTAAGTTTTATTTAATTTATATTTATCAAATTAACCTTTCCAACTTCTGTTTTTTATTTCTCCAGACTTTTTCTGGTGCAATGCCATTAAATTTGAATTCCTCTTTTTTTGACTCAGCGCAAAAAATTATATTGAAATAGAATCTTTCAAAATTATATTTAATTAAAATAATTCGTTATTTTGAAACCGTGACATTCGTCGATATTTTATTAACGATGGACGGGAAAACCTGTAAACAATCAAAGTCGCTTCTTTTTCGTAATGTCTTTGGACATCAAAAATGACATTGGTAGATAAATTAATATTAAATGAATGAATGAGATAGATAGATAGATAGATAGATAGATAGATAGATAGATAGATAGATAGATATGAATGTTATATATATATATATATATATATATATATATATATAGAGAGAGAGAGAGAGAGAGAGAAAGAAAGAAAAAAAGATTATGACTGTCTTGTTAAATGTGCATGATTTTTAACAGATAGATAGAGACATGACTGCCTCCTAGTTAAACGTGTATGATCAACACGAATTTTTTAACGCATAGCTAGAAAGATAGATATTAATGTTTATATATATATATATATAGAGAGAGAGAGAGAGAGAGAGAGTGAGAGAGAGGGGTAAATAAATAGATAACATTTATCAATTAAGGTAAACATTCAATAGTCTACATAATTAAAGCTAATTCATTCATATATATATTATATATATATAGTGCTTTGGTGAGCGAATCATACCACCTGTTTTAGCACTTACTTGAGCAGATGTATTTCCAGCTATTTGACAATTGGGTGATTATTTGTCAACACTGGGTAGACATAATACTGAAGTATTTGTAAATATCAGTGATGGTATCTTAACTCCTGTTTTTACCTACAGACAAAATCCAACCATAGCTACAAAAAAATGAGAAAGAAACGAAAATTACTGATTGGATAATCTTTCCTATTAATTAATATATTTCTATTAATCATAATAAAATGTCTCCCTTCTTCGACTGGCTATTTTTTGGTAACTTTTCCTTACTGTTCATTCATTATATATATATATATATATATATATATATATATATATATATATACCGCTTAGACAAGTTCTTTCGGTGTTGTCGTTTTCCAGCCTTTCTTCAATGTCGCCATGTTTAGCTCTGAAATTTACAAGCGGAAACAATATACCACAGATAAAATAATCATAACCCTGCAAGAGCTAAAAGATTTAAGGAAAAATGTCTTTACAAATATTAAATTTTGCTTAACATGTTTGTCGCAATCTCTCCAAATGCCATTGGCACTGTCCCAGAAATAAGACCTTATAGAATCAAAATCATACAGTGTCTAAATCTTAGAAGCTAAACTTTCTACATTCGAATATTATTAACGTCTTCATCGAACTCAAACGATGTCTTTTATTCAAGTGTTTTCTCGTTTTAATGGAGTGGTCGCTTAATTTAATTACAGAACACATTAGGAACTAAATTTTGCAAAGATGAAGGGCCCTGAAAACGAACCAGTACCGTTCTTCCTCAGTTTCTTTTTTAGGTTCTTTGAAAACGTTTCCTTTCTCCGAAAAAGAGCACCATCTTTTCTATTTTATTCTCTTGTTTATTGAACACATATTATATATATATATATATATATATATATATATATATATATATATATATACGTTCCAACTTCTTTTTTATTCGTTCGATTTCCTCATAATAAACACGACCCAATGCATGTGACCCCCAGCATTTTTACAAACCCCCACCCTACAAACAAGCAGAAATAGAATAATGAGAACTATAAAATTTTCAGTAATTTCCGATATCAAAATTTCTTCTTCTTCTTCTTCCTCTTCTCTCGTGTGTCTCATTTTTTATTCTTCGTTAGAGGGTAAAAACGGATGAAACAGCCACTTGCAATTAATCTTATATTCTCTTGCTTGTCTATTAGCTTGTGCTCTGATTTTACAATATGCCTAATGTCAAACACGGTCTACGATTTTGCTAGCATTTATAATCTAGATGCACCGCCATTTTAACTGGTATCTGACCTGAGTCAACATATGATTTTGGATATTTTTGTCCGTTCTTTAAGAAAAAAAAACAAACAAATATAGCGTTTGTATTTACTTTATTTTCAGCAAGTATCATATAATTTAATCACGATTTTAAAAATAATCCAGTATGACTTTAAATGACACTTCTTCCAACATTTTGTCATTTTTTAAACAAGAAAAATGCTATCATTATATAATATATTTTTAAAATTGACCTCTTTTTGGCTATCGATGCTTAAAAATGATCCATCTCTAAAGTATAAAAAGAAAACTTGTTTGAAAAAAAAACGAAAAGAAAGAAAAGAAAGAAAAAAGCAATGGGAACCTTTAAAAAATACAAAATCCTAATTATTTTTTCGGTAGCGATAATAAACGTTAATCATTTTAAAAAAAAATTGAAGACCAAGAAAGAAGAAGAAGAAACGAACAGAAAAAAGAAACCAATATTTAAAAAGAAAATTTTTTTCAAGGAAAAATATGAAACAAAAAGTAAAACTTCAATTTCCGGAGACGTGCTGTTCACTAACACTGCAGCTATGCATGACAGATATGTTCAAAATCAACCAATCAGTACTTAGTTGGCTTTATGGCTATGGACTACCAATAAAATAGCCAATCGATACTAGGTTTATAAAAGGGAAATAATTCAAATCCACATCTAGTTAAGCAACGATCAATTTGGTTAAATTTCGAAACATTTATATTGTTTTAATTTAAAACCAAGAAGAGGTGACTGATGGAAGAATACATTTTAATATAGAAGGCAAAATAATAAATATTTCTTGCTACGATATATATCTCTAAATACATACACACTAAACATATATATATATATATATATATATATATATATATATATATATATATATATATTATAAAATGGGGACACACCAAAAAAAAAATTGATAAAATATTTTTAAAAAATATACCTAAAAAAAAAAAAAAATGATTCAATATTAAAGTGGCTTCAATTCAATTATTTTCGTGTGGGCTTGACAAAAATTTTAAAAATATTAAAAAAAAAAGAACAAGATATAAGGATGAAAAATACAAACAATTAATTCCCAAAAATCAAATATAAAAAAATGAAAAAAAATAAAATTGAAAAAAAAGCATATATATATAAACCAAAATAAAAAGCAAAAAACTTATTCTAAAAAAGCTCTCAAAATATAAAGTTTTTTGTAATTGGCTCATATCAACCAATTTTCGCCTTACTAAAGTACTTATACATATATGCAAATATTAATACACTTAACATTACCAACACTAAACTTTTAAAACATAACTGCAAATAACTTTTTCCGTAGTTTTTATTCAAAAACATTTAATTTTTAAAATAATTTTCTTTTAAAATAAGGTAATTTTTATTACATTTCTGATTGGTGTTTTAAATATATACAATTGTGAAGTGCCTTTTTTCGTTTGTTCAAAGTTGTGTGGGTTGTAGTTATTTACTGCGGTCAGTGGGGTGACATTTATCAGATAAATAAACAAACAGAACATCAAAAACTGATTTCAAAATGGCGCTCAACAATCATGGCTTCGACAGTCGTTCGTTATTAAAAACTTAGCGTTGAATTAGCGCCTCTTTTTTTTTTTTTTTTTTTTTTTTTTTTTTTTTTTTTTTTTACACCACGGACCGCAGAAACTCAGAAAAAGGAAGAAGGCATAGATTCATTACGTAGAAAAAAAATGGCTTGTGTGAATAAACAATACAATACATTATTTAATTCAGACAAAATAGTATTATTTTTTTTAGATCTAAGTTAGTTTATTACCAATCATTTTATTGCGACATTGTTACGTTTTTTACTAAAACAACAACGTCAAACTTTACGACAACTTTATTTTAACGACACACACATTGACTCTTCTAAATTGTTGTTTCCTACCAGAACTTTTATCTGTGATATATTTATTGATAACTGTTGTTTTTAAAAACCTTTCATCCAAAATTATTTAAACAAAACTTTATTTATTCTTCCCGTACGGATAGGCTGATCATAAAAGACATTTTGTTCATAAGATAAATAAAATGAATATCGTTAGTTATTTAAAATAAAAACATATGGAAATGTTCCTGCTTTTAAAACTTAAATTAAAATTACAAATTCTTTAAAACTCTCTTTGCAGTAAATTAATCTTTTAAGGAATGTGACATGTCTAGTTTAATGTCCGTACATACTGTTTATATGCCTAACTTATATATATATATATATATATATATATATATATATATATATATATATGTATTATGAAAATTGCATAATTAGTCGATATTAAAATGTTAAACTTATTTTCATTATAAACTGTGCCTTAAAAATAGTTCCCTTTTAAAACGTAAAGGGTGTTTGTGAAAGATTTATGAAATATTATAAAGTTCTACAGCTTAGGCATTTTTTATCTTTCATTTTAGATTATTTTAAAATAAAATTTATCATTTAAGAATCCGCCATTTTATTGTTACAATTTGCAGACGTGTCGATGTTTTATCTGTTTTTTAGATTCAGAATAATTACGATTTAAACGCATTGCAATTTTCATACACCCATCCCTTAAATCAAGATTTTTATTATCTGATAATAAGTTAAGGTAGGGAATAATGTCTATAAGCCCCTTTGACTAAGACTGTCCAAACGATCTTTGTAGAGTTGTTATGCCTATTGTTTGGCAAATGTTTCACACGAGAGTAAGGTTTGAATTTTATTTAACAAACCAGTTCTAATAATTGCGATTAAAATTTTTAAAAGAAGCGATCAGTTTGAGTGATTTTTATGTTTTCCTTTTATTAACGGTCCCAATTTTTAATAAATTATTTATAAATAAAGGAAGGATTCGTTTTGAAATTATCATTTTTATATGGTTGTTTATGTAAATGTGATCGTTTCATTTTCTGAAAAACATAATTTCATTATCTGTTGTTAAATTATATTTTGATACTGAGGAATTCATTTGTCATATTATTAATAAAAATATCTTTTAAATGTGTTAATGTAAGAGTTGAAATTCATGGGGATTTTTCTCTTTTCCTGTTGTTTTACTATTTTCACAAAACATAAAGTCAAGCGAGACTGGTGAAACAAAAGTGCATACGACTCTTTCAAAGATCGTTTCGTGTTCCTCTTCTTAAGCATTCACAAGACATACCAAAAACAAATGACATCACAGAACGACAGGACAAAACACGCCTCTTTTCAATATGGCGTACTTTTAACACAAGCTTAGTTTTCCCCCCTCAATAAAAACGATTTAAAAACACAACTTTTTCGTTTTGTTACTTTCAAATGCAAATCACATTTTAACTAACCAAAGACTCTCTCTCCCTCCTTCTCTCTCTGTTCTTAATTCTTTCCTTGTTCTTTCTGTTTATACTTTTTCTCTCTCACTGTTTTTCATTCCATTTTCTCTATTTCTTTCATTTTCTTTCTTACTCTTTCTTTGTGTTTTATAATTTCTATCTCCCTGTTTTTCATTCTTTTTTCTCTCTTTCATACTCTTTCTTTCTTTCTTTCTTTCTTTCTTTCTTTCTTTCTTTCTTACTCTTTCTTTTTGTTTTATACATTTTATCTCTATCTGTCTTTTATTCTCTCTCTCTTTTTCTTTCTGAAACTTTCTTTGTTACTCTGTCTTTCTGTTTTATACATTTTATCCCTCTCTGTTTTTCATTCACTCTTTCTTTCTTTTTTTTTACTCTTTCTTTCTGTTTTATACTTTTTATCTCTCTCTGTTTTCCATTCCATTTTTCCCTCTTTCTTTTTATTTTCTCTTTCTGTTTTACAGTTTATCCTTGTCTCTTCCCTTTTGCTATTTTTATATTCCATACTCACTTTTTATTTAATTCTCTCTATCCATCTTTCTGTATTTCTCTTTTTTTTTCTCTCTCCACTTTCATTTTTCATTTTTATTTATTTACCGCTTTCTCTTGCCTCCTTCTTAACTACACACTCTGAATAATTCAGTGAAGCAGACGTTTCTTGTCACCACTGAAATGGCTAACTGATTGGAAATAAGCGACTTTTTTTTTTCTTTCTGGATCGTTTTCATTCAACTAAAACTAAATTGAATAAAATCGACCGTGATTATCCAAATTCAATGCGACTATCGATCTATATACACACACGCGCGCGCGCGCACTCACACACACACACGCACAGATATATATATGTATTTGTGTATTTGAGCAGCAAATTTTCTTTTGGGCATATCTGATTAAATAAATTACATACATTATGTCTGCTTATTTTAACATAATCTATTCATACTCACGAATAACATTCCGTGAATTGATGTTGAAGGATGAGAGAAATGTGCTATTTTTTCACACACACACACACACACACACACACACACACACACACACACACACACATATATATATATATATATATATATATATATATATATATATATATATATATATATATATATATATGTAGTTATATATATATATATATATATATATATATATATATATAGGTTATTCGTGAGTATGAATAGATTATATTAAAAATAAGCAGAAATAATGTCTGTAATTTATTTAATATCGCCAAACAACAGAATAGACTACGGCAATCAATACAAAAATTGGACGAATAAATATCTTTATCTTCCCATAACAAAACAAACTATTAAATAAGCGACCTAAGCAAATCCCCTCATTTTTTTTTACTACGTTAATAAAACATCGAAAACTGAAAAGAATAAATAAATATATAAAATAAAAAACAAGTAAAATAAATTAACCCAAATAAATAAACAAGTCACTCCCGCCAAAATAACCGCCAGAATGGATTACCCACAATGCACCACTGACCCATATATATATAAATAGTCGAGAAAAAATCCAACACACGCGGCCTGACGAATCCAAGTCAGGTAAACGTGAATCTCCCATTGCGTCTAGCATGAAGCAGCCTGTCGCCTCTGACTTCAATGTTCACTTTTATAATTATGTTTACATACGCTCTATCTCTGATATTGAGCACTTTCTCCTATAAATATAGCACACTTTAAAATTATATATATATATATATATATATATATATATATATATATATAGTTTTAAAGTGTATATTTATATATATATATATATATATATATATATATATATATATATATATATATATAGTGAGAGAGAGATAGGGTGAAAGTGAATGGAATCTTGCCATCTATCACCTCCATCTATGACAATGTTTGGAACATGTATAATGTACGTATAAAGACATTATATACATTACGTGTTTCAGAAGATAACGGTTTACTAAATATATAAATATTTTTATATATTTAAAAATATATTTATTCATATTTATTTATATATTATTATTATTTATACCAATATACAGGGTGTCCCAAAAGTTGCACTACTATTTGTAAAACTTTGTAAATCTTATATTTATTTACTGAATTAAATAATGTTTCTGTATGTGAAAATATATTATTAGGAAATTTTATTGGTCTAATTATGGAAAATGATGTCATGCAAATTTCCTCTGGTTGCTATTTCCAAATTGTACATTTTCTGACAATTGTAGCATGACTTTTGGGACACCCTATATATATATATATATATATATATATATATATATATATATATATATATATATATATATATGGACCTGACAGAAGAACTGTATCGGTTCACAAAGTTGTGTATGGCTGGTGAGGATCCCAATCTCTTCCTAGACTATACCTTGGGAATATACAAGCACAGATATAAAGAGATGGGCACTGATCATTTCAGTATTTCATACCACATTTCAAATCTTTAAATAATACTAATTAAAGCATCTTAACACTATTTACAAAGAATAAAGGAACTTTTCGACCAACCCTTCTTCAATGGTTGACACGAGTTATTTTTTTATTATTAATACTGACAAGAAGACCGTAAACATTTCAGGGACTAATATGGTAGTTGATTTCGTCTTACCAGTATTAATAAAATAAAATAAACATTTTCGCCAACGATATATCCCTGAAGAAGGTTTTGCCGAAAGGTTCCTTTGGTAGCTGTTTTAATACTATTAAGATGTTTTCATTAGTATTATTCAAAGGATTGTTAATTTTTTTTAGTATGAAGTCAGTGTTTATAGAATTATTTTTCAGTGCGCCCAAGTCGCTACCGAATGTGACACAAGGTCAATTTAAAGTGGAGTTGCTTTTTGGAAGCAAGAGTCCGACAAGTTGTCAGCGTTACCCAGACTTTATGGCACCAGGGTCAGAGTAACGGTGATCAAATTCTTTTATTTTCAACTCTCTCGTTCGTAATAATTAACAAGCTAGCTTGCAAGCCACTGATTACGTCTTCATTCGATCTACAGTCTGTGAGTCTCTACTGTGCATATCCCGCCGATTTTCCGGTACCCTTGGTTCAAGAACCGTGCCGGATTATCCATCTCAATGGACCAGCGGTGGTCACATTATAATAATTCAACAATACATTTTTGAGACAATAGTTATACCCATGCACAAATTCCAGTTCAGTCTGTTGCATTCAACTTCACACAAATACCCTTGCGATAGACATGTATCCATCATTTCTCTCTCCCCCAATGGATTAAATAGTAGAGTAGATATGGGCTCTATTGTAAACCACGGAGAAGGCAATAGGAAAACACTTCACTATCTTTTACGGGGAAGTATGGAAATTCAGAGATAATAAATAAAATGAAGCTGTGGAGAGCCATTTGCTCAGAACCGTTTGCTCAGATCAATTATTAAAAAATGGCTTCAAGTAAATGAATCCTTTAGGCCTTAAAACAGACGATACTTCATCAGATCTTATAGAATGGCGCTACACAATCACAAACAAAATGCGTCAACGAATAACAAGAAACACACCACTTGGAGACTAGAAGAGAAGATAATTATATAATCAAAATGTTTATATTCCACACACCTTAGAGAAAAGGTTTGGAAGGAAACTTTCGTCAATACTAAAAAGGGCGACAACAGCATCTTAAAAAGTCTAATTTCCGGAAAATCTGTTCGTAAAATGCGTGCCGAATATTTCCTTAGAGCAGAAGTGGGTTCCAAGGAATCCATGAGTTCCGCAAAGGAGTGTCTTGGGTTCCGTGACAAAAGTCCAAAATAATAAATGTTTACCATAACAAATTATCAAGGTTTGTAAATAATTTCTAAAAAAATAGTTGCCAACAGATTTAGATCGTTCTATAATGTTGTGATGTATCTTGTAATATTTTTCTATATTGTATATCAGTGAATGATAATTGTATCATGTTACTGCTGAATTGAAAAGTAGTTATTGATTGTGATATCTGAAAGTTAATTTTCTCACCATATTGGAAAAAGCTCTGTATACCTTGCGGTTAAAAACATAAGACCAAGCTACTTATGTGAAAGTGGATTTTCCGATTCCACTACCATAAAATCTAAATACCGAAGTAGATTTAATCCAGTTACTGACTTGAGAATCTCAAGTATAAAGCCAAATATTTAAAAAAATTATGTGACAATATGAAACAGAAGCATTGTTCTCATTGAATGTTCCCCCCAAAATCTAATTAAGTATTAGTATCTGGAGCCGCCTCCTCCCAAATTTCTGAACCCAGAAGGGTTCCGCGTCTGAAAAAGTTTGGGAAACTCTGCCTTAGAGAAAGGGCTAATTTCACGATTAAAACATATTTGCAGGGTAGGGCTAGATAAATTAGTCCGGTTCACACACCTCTCCGGTCTTTTGAACAGGAATAGAGGTTTATTCTTTGTTTCTTGTTCAGGATTGGGTTTTCGGTTTTCTTCTAAGTCTTCTCATTCTCTTTCCCTCCCAGTAGACTGCCTGGCGTTATAGTGTCATTATCGCCTTGCTTGGGGGTGAACTGATTTTTTAACCGGATTAAAAGAGGTGCATATACAATAAGTTTCTGAAAAATCGGTGGTTTATGTGTAGCGACAGATATTCTTTACTGCAAGGCGATGATATTGCACGGGGTTATAAAATGCTTATGGGAACGGCTTTTGCTCCCCGAGAGTGATTCGTTGGCATGACCTGTGGGGGTCATCAAACAATGCAGCACTCCAATGCCTGTCAACACTTGCCGCAATCCCCTTCCATTTACACCTTTCCTATCCGGGTTCTTCAGCCAGATAAACGTCATCTCTCTGCATTGAACTGACATCAAGTAACATGGCCGAGGGAGCAGAGATTCTTCAAAGAAGGTAAGCACAAATACGTTTTACCGAAATGTGTGGCTTATTCTTTCATAATTGGCAAAAACAAATCATGAAAAAAAAAACTTGTGAGAAAAGATAAATTCAATAAAATTCTGAGAAAATTATATTTTCATTTGTTCTATTTAAGTAATTAAATTAAAACGGATGAAAATATTACTTGTTTTATTAATGTAAATTAAATGTGATTTTTATTTTAAACCAAATTATATCTTGATTAAAATTAAGTGAAAATTAATTGCTTTTAAAAGATATCTGCTGAGCTGATTATCATTTTCTCTAAATCCGATAAAATTAAATATTCACTCTATTTCCTCTTTAAACTAATTATGATAACGGAAAATGCATTCAGTTCCAAAATATTCTCACTTCTGATTCGGGTAAATTTGGACTTTGACTTGAAAATATTGAAGTCTATACATGAAGTTTTCATCGCGTTCCTTCTGTGAACAGCATAAAAATCAATTTTGTTTTTTTATTTTTAATAAAATATTATTTTATTTAATATAGTTAATGACTTATTCTATTACGATAATGATCAGTGTCGGATAAACCTAATAAGCAATGTAGTAAATTCTTCTTTTTACTGATTTATCTATTTTCTTATTTGAAAAGATAATAAACACTCAATTTGATACATCAGACAGAGTATATTTTAAAACTTCCAGAGAATGCTTCTTTTTACGGATTTATTTGCTTGTATGGAAAAACATTTTACATGGTCAAGTTGCTACCTTATCTTTTAACAACTCGAGAAAAT